TATAAATAAATATTAGAATATAATGTTATTTTTAACTTGAAAAAAGTAAAATTTAAAACATCCTAATAGTTTAAATGTCAAAATCTCATGTACAATTATTCAAATACTTTTAATAAATCTTTTTTATGTGTTAATTTATTAATTTTATGTTTGGTTTGAGAAGAATTAAGTGGAGGAGAAAATAAGAGAATATAGTTTAAATGTCAAAATCTCATGTACAATTATTCAAATACTTTTAATAAAATTTTTTTATGTGTTAATTTATTAATTTTATGTTTGGTTTGAGAAGAATTAAGTGGAGGAGAAAATAAGAGAATATTTTTTAATCAATCAAATTGTAATATTTAAAAAATTATAATTTGATTGATAAAAAAATTCTCCTCCCTTCTTTTTCGCTCTCCTCTCTTTCATTTTATTTTTTTTAATCTAAATATATTATAAAAATATTTTAATTTTTCATTATCATTCATGATATTTAAGTGTTAAAATATCTTAATTTTTCTCAATTTCTTTTAGTTTTATCACATTTTATCACGTGCTCAAGTTTTTCTCTTGGAAAATATCTTCTTGTTTTGATGTGATAATTTTCTCTTAAAGCATAAAAAATGTAAAATTAAAGAACACCAATGTGCCAAAAAAAAGCTTAGTAAAATTAATAATTTTTAGGCACACAGTTTTCCAAAAAAATATATTTTTAATTAATTATCGATACCTCACGCGTCTTTGTCTTTTCGCTTTTCACGGTTGAAAAGTGAAAACCGTTTTTCCCGCCACTGCATATAGACTCTTCAACTCAGCTAAAGAAACCTCAAGAGAGTATTTTCTCGAGAAAATACTCAAATTTTCCCAGGAAAGAAAGCCATGTTATCGATCTTCCAAGTTACCCTTTTCGGCTTCATAATCATTCACGCTTTCGCGATGATTATATTGCTCGAGCAGAGTGGCTGTAACTTCCCGGCTCTTTTCTCCGGTCTCACATCAGATTCCGAGGTGAATCAATCTAATGCTGATTTCTCATACATTAGGGATGGAGAATTCAAGCTGAGATATGAAGAGATGGAGCGCAACTTTAAGGTCTTCGTGTATCCGAAGAAAAATTTTCACACTCCTTCAGAATTCACCGGGCCATATGCGAGTGAGGCATTCTTCTTCAAGAATCTGGAAGAGAGTTGGCTTCGAACCGATAATGCTGGGGAGGCCAACATGTTTTTCATTCCCATTTCTGTTCAAGATATGAGTTCTAAGGTAGGTTTTGATGTTGCTTTTAACTGTTTGTTGTTATTCAATTTTGATCGATGAATTTGGATTTCTTGAGTTCCAAGGAAATGCCTCTGCCTTATTGCCTTTGAGGAAACAATTTCATTCTGGTTGGGTTCGATTGGTGAAAATTTTTTCTCTGTGCTGATAATTAATTTTGATTGTCCCTGCTTCATCAATTTGTTCTCTCTGTTGAAGTGGATGTGTTCTTAATTTTATGCAGGGGTTCACTCTTTATAGAATGAGAAATTACATAATGAGATGTATCCAAACAATTAGTTCAGAATTCCCTTACTGGAACAGAAGCTTTGGGCTTGATCACTTTTTCGTGAGTTGCCATGAGATGGGGTTGAATGTTACCAAGGCGGTTCCACTTCTTGTGAAGAATGCAATTCGAGTTGTATGTTTTCCCAAAAAGAATGAGGGGTATGTTAAAGGGAAGGATTTGACCCTCCCTCAAGTGCTGCTGCCATTTATAGATCAAGCTGCCGGCACTAATACAAAGATGAGGTGACTTCAGCATCTGTATTTTTCTCTTTGTGAGTGTGTAGTGCTTGGATTTGAAATGCTATGCTTTCTGGCAACACATTAATATTAACCATATAAGACTGAAACTCTTGGATAGATATTTGCATAGTCACTGTTACATAACTTCATATACCAACCAATAAATAGGTTCTTTACTAATAGGCTCATTTGAGTAGTAGTCCCCATTTAAATTTTACTATTCAGTTTGGATTCATGACACTGCACAACGTGTTGTCAATATGGATATTTATTTTGAAGTTTGATCTAATATTGCAGAACTAGGCTAGCTCTCTTGGCAGGGATGATTAACCGAAGAGTGGATCGTGACTATTTCAACATCATGAACTCCAATCCTCTAAAAGAAGCAAAAGAAAATGCACTATGGACACCGAATTACTATACCGCTAAGTTCTGTATGTGCCCTGGTGGATCTCAAGTGGATAATGCAAGGATTGCAGATGCCATTCACTATGGATGTGTTCCGGGTAAGGACCTTTCTACATATCCGGTTATTCTGTACATTAGAACTTTCTTTTTCTGATTTCTTTTTTTTTTTTTTTTCGCTGATGTCTTCTAAAGCTATCTCTGCTCATTCTGCAGTTATTTGGCCAGACCACTATGATTTACCATTCTCTGAATTGCTTTGGTGGAACTTATTTTCCCGAAAGATTAACAAATATGATGTTTATTATCCTAATCATTTTCTCAAGAAAATTTCAGATGTCGAATATGGAGCATTGCAAAATTTCACAGTGAAGGTGAAATTGTAATCATATTTATAGCTTCCACACTTTAATTTGAAAGGGTATAATTAAACTTAGAGGAGGGAGAGGGACTGGTTTCCTTTTGGTGCAAATTGATGTAGGTTCAGAAGCACTTCCAGTGGAACTCACCTCCCACACGATATGATGCATTCCATTTTATCATGTTACAACTCTTTGAGCGCTACCTGTATGTATCCATCTGTACACCAGGTTTTTCCTGGACTTAGATTCTTTTTGAAGCTTAAAGACAAATGACTTCATCTTCATCTTCTTGTAGTAACTAGAATCAGCATGTATTTCATTATGGACTTCTTGTTTCTCAAAGTGATCATTAGAACGAAAAGCTAAGTTTCCTCTAGATAGATAGTTTGGTTAAAAGGCAAGCTCTTAACAGTTTGATATTCATATGGTTCAGGAAAAGAAGCCATGTTTTTCAATTAACTAAAGAATTGGCAAAGCATCAGACAACTGGTGAGAAGATTATGTTCAGTTTTTATATGTTTGGAACATGGTTAATTTTACACTGAAAATATTTCTTTTTGGATGGTTCAAGTAAGGCCTATGCCGAAGATAATTAGCAGTGTTTGTTGTGCAATAATTTCTCCCTTCTTCTATTATGCCAAGAGATTTGGAAACAAGGAATAGGAACCCTTTTGTTTTTTCCTCACTGACTTTCAATATATCAATCACGTCTTCCCTCTTGTTTGCTTTATGAAATCTGCTATCTTATTTTCTAAGGGTGTGATTTCTTTGGAACGGGTTATTACATCAGATAAAGTTAAGTTCTGTAACCTTCAGTATGAAATCTGAGATGTGGATGCTTTATTTTTGAGGAAAACTAACCCAGTAGTCAATGACAGTTTTGATATTTTGATGAATAAATAAAAGATGCAATGAATTATGCGCTTAAATCATGTGAGAGAATAGAGACTGAATATCAAACCATAGGGTTAAAGGTGGAGTGTAAATGTGATTAATTATTAGGGAAAGGTGAAAAAAGGAGGGATGATTTGAAGTGTTGAATTGCAGGATCTTGCTAAATATGTTTGATAAAGTTATATGATATTATGATCCAGATTAGGACTGATAAATTAGCAGTCATTAACAGAGGATCCCAGGGGAATGAATTATTTGCCTATATATTTTTTAAAAGCTGATTTGGAACAGCTAGCAGAAAAAAAATCATTTTTTTATTACTCATCTAAACGGATTTTTGGTGGCCGAAGCAGGGAAGCGTGAGAAGGGGAACTCGGTTTACTTGAAGGGTTAGCAAATAGTATTGAAGCTATTCTATGAAATTAATTATGTTATTTTAAATGGTTCATTATTTCAACTTTTGTAAAGTCCTAATGAACGAACTACTTTACTAGCTACATGCATATGGGTTGAGGATTGGAATAAGATTTTCCTTGCAGTCTATCCCTATTAGAGAAAGGAATAAGTTTCCTAAAACCTTATGTTTAGTTGGTCATAGATTCAAAATGATTCCTTGTCTAGAATTAGTGCAAAGATCCCAAATCTAAAGTGGAAAGTACTGAAACTAAGAAGAGAAACAAAAGTTAAGTACTTCTATGGATTTTCTTTTCTGACTGTTTTAATTTTTAAGTATGGATTATATCTTCTGATTGGTTACCAAGCATGTGGGTGATTGGAGCATGTTTATTTTAAATTTGTTCACACTACTGCTGTTCACATTCCATCCTACTGCCCTCAATTCTTTACTTGAAGATTTTATCCTTGTGTTTTCAGCAGCGGACTTTACTAGTTACTTAATAAGAAAAAAAAAAAAGAAAGGAAAAAATAGAGAGCAGACTTTACTACTTGATTTCTTTTGGCTTAATTAATATTTTGATAAGTTTGGGTGCTCCTAGTTTGACTTATATTGGTAGTCCTATAAGACTCTCGAGCAGAGAATGGGATTTGGATCTGTACAAGGTTTCTGTTAGTTTGATCCACATGGCACTCCTGCTGCTTACATGTAATTTTCTAGTTTGTTAGTTTGATAAAAGTGATTTTCTAGATAAAGAAAACAAATTATCTGAATATTATAGTTCTCTAATGTTCTTAATTGTTATTATTATTGGGCCATTGGAAGTATCCAATCAGGATTTTAAAACTGATTCAGCTATAGTGACTAGGGGTGAAGAAGATTCTGAGATTCAGAAGCGTATATACACTGGTTCTTTTTTATTCCTTTAATGCGAGAAGAATGGTAATCTTTTGTTAGTTAATTTGAGTGGCCCCTGATTTACATATTGTACTTGTAGGAATTTGCCCAGACATTTGCATCAGACTGGAGACAACCGTCCCCCCTCATCTGGATCAAATTGAAATGCATGAGGAGCCAAATTTTGACAATGACACAGCAGATTATTGAAACGCATAACTCACTGATCTTACTAGACTGTCTAGGGATGGAATGTGAACTAGTCCAATGCCTTTCAGATTGAAAGAAGTGAGATTTTTTCCTTAACAAGTCATTTGGCTTGGCTGCCTTAAGCTTTTTCCTTTCTTTCTCATTTGAGTTAATCTTTCTCCATGTAAATGTTATGAAACTATCTTTATGTTACTTGGTTTTGTTGTAATTGACCAGGTTCATAATTGCCTCTGATGGCGCTATACTGAAAAGCACAAGGCATAAAGCATCGTCCTCAGCATTCCCTTACTGTATATTCCTTCACCTGACTATGTTGAAAGCATAAACCAACAAGTAAATTTGGGTTGGTTGGCTCCTTGTAAACACCATGTTGCTTTGACTGTTTTGTGTAAAAGGGAACATCTTGCCCCTTTGGCATCTTCCTGAAACTAAAAAACAAAGTACTCTCTTTTTCGGCCAGGAATCTACAAATATCATGTTAATTGGAACTAGTATGATTCATTAGATGCATTGCAAACAAACCCACTTTTTTGTTATAAATATATGTAAAAAAAAAATAAAAATTAACATTAATTTTAGTATAAGTGTAAAGTAAATAAATTTAATTAGATAATTAATAAATTAAAAATTAATTTTTATTTTTTAAATATAAATTTATGATAAAAATATATATTTATTATATTAAGACATAGCTTTAAAAAACTCAAATATTAATATAACAATTTTTATTTTAATCTGAGAAAGAGAGTAGCACTTTAGTTCCTCTCTCTGTCTCTATACTAGTATCCTCCAATTCGATAAATGTGGCAGGTAACAGACCTGCAAACCTGTCCTTCCAATCAGATGGGGTTGCTTGGGAGTGCAGACATAACTTCTGCATATAAGAGAAAAATGGTAAAAACTGCACAAGTGTAGGAAAGATGTTTTTTATTCTTTCCGTTATAAAAAGGGGTCCCAATCCAATGGCTTTCCCCAGTCACATATGAACAGGAAGGATAGTCCAGCTGTTGGAGTCTTGTGGCAAAGGAATACTCCATATAAGCTCTTGCATTGCATCACAAGCAAAAAATAACATGAAAGCCTGAACGCAACATTTCATCAAGTCCATATATGTTGGAATCCTAACCAGCTAGCTTACTACCAGATACTCTACTCATCAAACAAGTAAATAAAACCTCATGCTAAAAACCCACGCACTATTTAGTTTTTTTGTAATTTTCTTCCTAACCAGACAACCCACAACAAATTGAAGACATATAAGAGAGAGATTACTTTGAACCATCCGGATTCTCCCGACCTCTCTGACCAGATTCACCACTGCCGCCCTCAATATCTTTCTCCTGGTGATCAACTGAAGGTTCGCTCTCAACATTTTGGTCCTCTTTGGGAGAAAGAACAATGCCCTTGGTACCTTTGCAATCACTGCCGCCTGCATTATCTATTCCCTGATCAACCAAATGTTTGTCCTCAATAGTTTGGTCCTCTTGTGGAGGAGGAACCATGCCCTCAGTACCTTTGTCATCACTACCGCCTCTGCTATCTATCCCTTGATCAACCAATGGTTTGCACTCAACAATTTGGTCCTCTTGGAGAGGTGGAACTATGCCCTCATCATCAGGGATCTGTATGCTAAGGTCTGTCATAACATATCTGGTAACAGCCTCAGCAATAGTGGCATCTCTTGCTACCTCAGCAACTATCAGCCCATAAACATCTG